ATCTCATAATTGATGATTGGTTCATCACAAACGATCAATCATCGAAAATAATTGGTTAGCATCATTTATGAAATTTTCCTGGTTATGTTTGTTAATGCACAAAAAATAAAGAAAAAACATGTACTTCTTTTGAGTTTTTTTGCAAATTGCAAAAAATGCATTTGCAAATTTTACATCTTAAAGCATGACTAGTATGTTAGAAACCTAAAGCTCCTGGATTCTTTAAGATAAATTCAATCCTGACTTGGAATGAGCTGGTAGTGCTTATGAAATGTAACAGAAAAAGCCAACCTTGTGAAAAATATTGTTAAAGCAAAATAAGTGTTCCAAAATTGTTTGTGTTCGATTATGAGAAACATGATCGATTGCTTGGTCGTTTAGTCATTGTGACCAATCTTTGATTATTTCAATTAATCGGACCACCACAAGTTAGGTCATCAAGCCTGGATAACATACATCATGACTTGAGAGTTTCAATCTTACCTGACAGTCTCTGTATATTTAACTTACAAAATACTAACAATAAATGGCTTAATGACCCTTTACAATGTTCCTGTTTCACGGGAATCGAGCATGAAGGGATACAAAGTCTGGTCAACATGAACTGCATCCGTAACAACCCTGCACTGAACATTAATTCTGCCATGCCCTTGCCAACAGCATTTGGCAGCCTACCGCTAGTCAAGTAAAACCTACTGGTACTCTTTAGCCAGTGCTATCTGGATGAGAGGTCAATTTCTTCTATCTGACAGACAAATTGCTGGACTATGTTTGCAATGGCTGTGATGCTCAATTACTCCTTGATAGGTTTAGGAGCAGGCGGAAATTAATGCTCCATGTGGAGTTGATGAATTGTCCATGTTATTTATGCAACACAACTTGATAACTGTAGCAACAATGCAAAGCTAGCGTGATGTTTTGGAAAAATTACAGCATTAGCATAAACCTGTAAGACTTTGGAGAATGTTATTTCAATTATTAATACTTCAGTAATCGATACATGTCACAGATACATGACCACTCTGTACAGGCAAACCGAAGAAGCTGAAGTGCTGAGTGGCTTAGACAGATAAATGACTGAAACACACAAATTTGGAAAAAAGACCTGTTGTATTGAATTACCGATCAATAGTAATTAATAAACGTTGTTTTAACCCTGAACACTCCAGACATCAACAATCAACTTATGTATGTACAATGTCCTTGCTTTAACAAACATAACTATTGTCCAACAGGATAGATTACCAAATAATTTCAGTATTATCATATACATTACTAACAATCTCATTAGAACATCATTTCAAGTTAGAACTGGTCAGTAGCAAAATATGTCTGCCTTAAAAACCAACATATCAGATCGGGTTGTCAAGCTCTGTGACCTGTTCGGGTCATCGTACCCGGACGATGGGGTTGTTCGTCATATCAATCACTGGTTTGTCTGGTCCGGAATTAGTCAATTGGAGGCAAACATTGTTTACTTGGAACACTGCAATGTTTGGTGTTACAGGGGTGGAAATAAGTTTAAAATTGCTAGTGTACTTCGGTACAGTGGCACATGTAAAGTCTGACTGACTGACTGACTGAGTTTAGTTTGACGCCGCTTTTAGCAATATACCAGCAATATCACGGCGGGGGACACCAGAAATGGGCTTCACACATTGTGCCCATGTGGGGAATCGAATTATTTTAACCACTAGGCTATCCACATGTAAAGTCACTTGCCCTGATTATTTTCCCACTATACCAACCGTTTTCTTGCTGGTTTTTTCAATAAACAACATAATAAACATTGGAAAGTCAACTGGACACCGGTACAGTGTGATATACAAATTTGCTTGCCCGACAGAAAAAAACACTGGACTCGGACGTCGGGCAGTGGGTTATTTCCACCCCTGTGTTACACAACAAACAAATGAACATGCACTGTTTCATCTAATGTTCCTTACAAAAGTAAATTTTGATTTGGTTTTCAATAAACTTGCCACCAACTGCCATTACCATATAAGCTGTCTTTTAAATATTCATACAAAAAGAACCCGCAACATTGCTTGGCCTGGGGGAAAATTACCATACCAGGTAATTGCTCTGTGATGGGCACTTGGAACGTGTTCATGTTGTCTGTGCTGCATTAAACTATGGGAGGGGGCCTCATGTCACCTTAAAGTCACCCAATCTCTCAAAATGTTCAAGTCATAAACTAAAAAGTTGTTTCAACTTTGGAATCAGGCATGCAATTTTAAAACTTAAGACAGGTTCTTGGGTCCACAAGGGTTATGGCTACAGGATTTCAATCCAGCCCCCCAAATTATTCCATTAAAAATAGGTTCGGGACAATGAACCCTTGACTTTCATGGTTAATTCCAAACACTATACATGTCAACACCATCACACACACAATGCCACATCCCTTCAGCACAGTTCAAATATCTACACTTGACGTGAGCAGCTAGCCTACACTATTTTCTAAACCTTGAACTTTGAACGTGTGTTCCACATGTGTGGCTACAACAATACCCAGACAGCTGGAAATGATCATAGGTGCAACAAAAATAACACCTCAAATAATACAGAAACATAGTCACAGGAAACATGGCAACACTGTGGCAAACTCAAAATCCATATCTGAATACATCAGAATAAGACCACATGGTATATTAATAAGTGGAATTGTTTAATCAGGCTAATGTGGAAATATTCCTTCAAAAATGCATGCTGAGTTATTCCAGGGGTGGCAATTCAAATATGTCATCTATGTACATAATTGAAATGCAGACCACTCGGGAAGATGTGTATGTGGGGAAATCAATAAGCTGCTACTATACAGTGGATACCATTGGGGATATAATAACACCCAATATTGACAGTCGTAGTCCCACTAACACTGTGGGTAATACTAGTACTGTAATACGTCATGAAGTCTGGAACAGTTAATTACCTACAGATAGTCAACATCAACACTGTTTACACACTTGGCAGTACCTACAACTGATTAAACAGTTATCAATGTTCTGTATTCAAGGGCTTCTGCATTCTGTATTTAAACTGCTCTAAGACTCTGTATTTGAGGCTCTATGGCTGTTTTTAAGAGGCTTCAGGTTTCTGTAAACAGGATGTTAATGGGTTCTACATGCAAAGAGCTCTAGGGTTCTGTATTGTAAAGGCTCTGGGGTTCTGTATTCAAGCATTACTCAAGGATACTTTATCCCAGAGGCTCTAGGGTTTTGTATCCCAGAGGCTCTTAGGTTCTGTATTCAAGCATTACTCTAGGATACTTTATCCCAGATGCTCTAGGGTTCTGTATCCCAGAGGCTCTTGGGTTCTGTATTCAAGCATTACTCTAGGATACTTTATTCCAGAGGCTCTAGGGTTCTGTATCCCAGATGCTCTAGGATTCTGTATTCATGAGACCCTGTGGTTCTGTATTCAAGAGACCTGTGAAGATCCAGGTTAGAATTGGCCTTCAGTAAACCATGCTTGTCTAAGAGGTGATTAATAGGATCGGGTGGTCAGGCTCGCTGACTTGGTTGACTCATGTCATCATATCCCAGTTGCCTAGATCAAAGCTCATGCTGCTGATCACTGGATTGTCTGATCCAGACACTTGACTATTTACACCACCAAACAGTTGGAATACTGCTGAGTCCGACAATAAACTACAAACAAAAACTGTATTCAAGAGACCCCAGGATGTTGTATTTAATAGGCTCAAGGGTTCTGCATTCAAGAGGCTCTAGGGTGCTGTTTCAAGATGTTCTGGTGATCGGTATTCTATAGGCCCTGGGGTTCTACATTCAAGAGGTTCTAGGTTTCTGCATTGAAAGGGCTTTGGGGTTTAATATTCAAGAGGTTGAGGTTCCCCATATTCAATCTCAAAGGACTCCCGGGATCTGTTTAACATGTTTAACGGAGCTACAGGGTTCTGTTTCTGTTACTCTGGACTTGAATTTAAATGATTCCAGGATTATATACTTTTCTAAACAGAGGGACAGAATTGATGTATAGGATGTAGTACTGCCTTAATCAAAATTTCAATTATATTTACAAGCTATAGATCAATCATATAAACTGATTATTTCTTATAGTATTATTAACTCAGCAACTATTATAACATATACATGTACTGACATATTGAATCAGGCATGAGATGTAATTCATCATTTCACATCAGTCAATGACAAAACCGACCATACAGTCAATGACAAAACAGACCATACAATCCTCATTTAAGATTCTTTTTTAACTGTTTTCTCCAACAATCAATGCATGCCTAAGCTAATGTCATTTGTTAAAATAATATCAAGCTTTGGATTCATCTTTTCGGACCCTAATCGTTATGTTTATTTGTCAGCTATAATATTGTGTAAACATAATAAAGGTCATATGAATATGGTGCATATATGTGAAACTGTCATTAAAATTAAATGGCAAATGTTGTAGGTTAAATGGTGAACAAGTATGTAATATTTTGTTTTACAGTTACTGAAAAGTAACAAATCCACTGACATTGACAGTCTATATGTACTTTATAGTACCATGTGCTTGAAAATTACTTAAACAATCACAGCATGAATGATAACATGGACAAATGTTTATTATTTCTAAAAACAAACTAACATGCAATATATTATAAGAACACAAATCCCGCAATTGAAAAGAAGCTAGAAGCTAGACAATAACTGATTTGACTTATACTTCAATGACAAAAGAATGATCACTTCGTAATTGAATTGGTAAATGACTTCTGAAAGTCATCTTTTAGAAGAAATAGAACGTAAGTGAAATTTTAAATTACAGGAGAACCCACTGATTCAGATTCTATCATAAATTTGCATGATTAAGAAGATATTTTCCCAAACATCAAACAAACCCAAGAAAAAAAACATGCGGGTGACAATGCCATTGTTATGAGATCAGAGACTGACAGCCCTGAGGGAATCTTCGTTGCTAGTGAATGCATGAGTTGGCTACTCTGTGACTAATCTGTTATACGTCAACCTTACCTTTCCCTACAACGGGGCACAGAGTAAATGGTTCGCATTGCCAAATATATTCGACCAGGAACGGGCTCAAATGAGCTAGGAAAATGTCAACTTGTTCCTCGAGGTATGTCTGAACTCCATCGTCTCCTATTCGGTTTGGAATGGACGGAAACAGATAATACTCCACGGTGTCTTCGCTAGAACGATGGCCCTTGCCAGCCATGCCGATGTCGTCCAATTTCGTTCTAAAAACGAAAACACGGAAGTGAAGTTATTCGGTAGGTCAGCCAATCACAAAGCGCGTAACATTTCGCGTCTGTGGATCATGTGACAGGTGTTTTCCTGTAACTCAAAGTGGATTTTTACGAAGGGAAAAGACGACATAATGTTAAAACCTAAAGCTTTGACACAAGTGTTAAGTCAAGCAAACACCGGAGGAGTGAGCAGTACCCTGTAGGTTGATTGATCTTAGTTTGTACTTTCAAGGGGCGTTCTTTTGCCCTACATTATGGAGTAAGACGTTACAACTGCGTCTATCTTCATGTGTTCAGCATCAATATAACCGATGCTGAACGTTCGTAAGGTTTCCAAAACACGTAACTGCTTGTATTACAAAGTAACGCTGTTTCCACCTGAGAGACTGGGATTGGTCGTTCTTATCCAGTGAACTGCACCCTTTGCCAGTGCGTGCCAACTTAAGTGTATTACATAACTCCTAACATCCTTACAGTGAAGTGAGTTCATTCCATTGTAGGATAATCCAATCCAGTGACCTCTGTGAACCACGTGCAGTAATTCTTTGTTGTGTTTATGATGAGTCCTGTGAAACTCAGTTACTGTCATTGATTAGCATATATGATTAGGGTGTAAATGTTTTGTCTGATTTAACTATCAGACTTGAGTTTGTAGAGGAGGAAAGTGCGTGTTTTATTAATGAAAGTTAGTCAGGAAGTGAAGCTAAAGGGGTTGCTGTCAGCACAGGTACTAGTAGGTAACATGGTAGGATGGGATGGTTCAGTGACTTGGTTGATGATAGTGAAGCACATTTCTCATATCTTCCATTATGACTTACTGATTTATTCAATATAGATGGGATACTGGTGACTCTGAAATTATACACTCACTCACTTAATTTATTATCCTGCTTAGAACCCGTGAATGTCCGGGTTAGAATATTGGCCTTCAGTAACCCATGCTTGTCGTAAGAGGCGACACCAATAAGCAATGGTACTAAAACAGTCGTAGTCTGTGATAAAGTGTGCAAGCTGCTATGGTAGTAGGGCAGTGACTGCATTGTGGAACAGCTCCCTGTTAGCAGTTCACAAATGAGGCGGACCGTCTCCGTGGTGTAGTGGTTAGAGCGTCCGCCCGGAGAGCGGAAGGTTGCGGGTTCGATCCCCGACCGCGTCATACCAAAAAGACGTTAAAATATGGTACTTGTTGGTCCCTGCCTGGCACTCGGCGTTAATGGGTACAACAAGGACTTGTCGGCTCGGAGTCAGTATAATGTGTCTGAGTGGGGTATTCATGCTTCACTGCGGCATGGTATCTCAGTGGGCTAGCACTATAAAACCAACTTAAGTCTGGGCTAGTATAAGCAGCCACACATACACATGCATGCATGTCGTCATATGAGCGAAATATTCTCAAGCATGACGTAAAACCCAATTTTTACCTCACCTCACCTCATAAATGAGCTGTGTAACTTTGCAGGAAAAGTGCTGCTCATGATTGTGTTTGCATTAGCACACAAATCTTGTGCTTGTTGAAGTTTTAAATGACTTTTTGGTCTTACCAAGATTGTCTACAGGTCCCAAGCCAAGGTGTTCTTTTAGCATTTCAGTACATTATCTCACATTTGAAACTTCTTGTCATTTCTATCCAGTCTGCTGAACAATGAAGGGTCCCTGCTGGCATATTCCGGTTATGGAGACAAGGATGCTGCAGTCACTGCTGCCATCGCAAGCAACATCTGGACATCATATGTTAGGAATGGAACTCAGGCCTTCAATGATGACAAGTTGCAACACGTCCTGGTAGAGTGCAAAGTAGGTGTATGGGGTTTCAAATACGATAGCAGTCAAACTTAAGATATTGTCTCAGTTTACATGAAAGATTGTTATTCCTATGGCTTTAGATGGTCACTCGGTAGAAATAAATATCTGTTTAAGAGAAAATTCTTTCTTCTGAGGTCATGTTGGATGACATTTTGCAAGACAGCTATTCCAACATAAGTGTCAGTTTTCAGTTTTCAAAAAGAACTATGTGCCCAACCAAACTTGAGGCATTACATTACTTACCAATTTTCACTCATTCACTCTGAGGAATAGTTATGCCAACAGTAAGCCAAGTGGTATGGTCAATATATTTTATGAGAGCTTCAATCAATTAAATACCCTCGTTATTTCAGGAGGGGAAAGTTGGTCTGACCAAGGTTGCCAACCTGCTCCTGTGTGTGTGCTGCAAGGACAGTGTAGGGTTTGGAATGTTGAAAGCAAAGGTATGTAGTGATGTAACTAGAAAGTGTTTTTACTCGAAAAAACAGATGTCTCCCCCTTCCCCCAATTCAGCGCTGAGACCTCAAACAATTCATTTGATTCCTTTAATTTCAAAATCTCTAAGTATGAAAATACATATTATGTATGTTTTATAGTAGTACATGTGTACGGTTGATGCTTCTAAGCTTACTAATAATCGGTATTGGTATTAAGTATACAAAATTCGTTGAAGATGGGTGAAGTGGTTTTAGAGTTAAGTTCCGAACACAAACCCTACCTTTTAAAAAGACAAAGTCCAAATTTGTTGCCATTGAAACAGAAAAAAAAAATTGAAAGAAAAGTTCAAACCCTAAAAAGGCACATCCTACATGATATGGAGAGGCAGTTTACCAAATTCCCGACCCATAATGAAGCCTATTGCAGTGAATTTTTGTGAACATTTCTTTGTTACTAAATTTCAAATGGGTTAATCTGTTTTGATGTAGTTAATTAATGTTTCAACTGTCATCACAATTTTTAAACACCATGTTATTATTACTGCCACTGTGAGGATTGAATTTGTCTACAGAAACACATGGCTGTGAGAAGCACTTGAAATGAATTGAGTGATAGTGTCAATGTATTTATACAGTTCATGACATCTTGCCCACATTTGTGTCCATGCTGCTGTCCTGAAGCTGGAATATTGTTAACTGCTGAATAAAGATAATAACAAGCAGTTGTCACTAGGGTGACATAATCCCCCATCGCCAATTGTCAAATCAAACTTAAAGAGTAATGAAAGTGAAGGTCGTAGTTTAAGATGAAGTTAAATGCCAACAAAAACAGGACCTGTCAACCTCTCTTGATATCTTGCTCTGCTCTGTAGCTGTTCAAACACACAAATATTTTCAAGACTCACTTTGACCTTGACATGAATGTCATGGTGTAGGAAATAAGCAATTTTCTATTACTAGTTTTTGCACATCAAAAAACATTCACGAAAAGTCTTGAGAGTCTATGAAGAAAATCCAGTGAACCGTTCTTGAGATATCTTGCTGACAATCTTAACATACTAAAATCTACAAAGTGTCTTTGTGACCTTGACAATTATGTGAAGATCACCAAACTCGACTGGACCCTGCACCTTCCCTATATGAAGCCTGGTGTGTAATATGATGAAAATCCAGTGAATGGTTCTTGAGGTATCTTGCTGACAAGCTTAACATGCAGGTTAGCATGCTGAAATCTTCAGTGTCATCATGACCTTGAAAATTATGGGAAGGTCACCAAAATCGACTGGGCCCTGCGCCTTCCCTATATAAAGCTTGGTGTCAAATATGAAGAATATCCAGTTAACGGTTCTTGAGATATCTCGCTGACAAGGGTAAAATGTTCAAGTCCCATTGTGACCTTGAAATGAAGGTCAAGGTCACCAAACCTGCCTGGGACCTCTCTTATACTGTGATGAACCTAGGTACTAAGTATGAAAAGAATCCAGTCAATGGTTCTTAAGATATTCCAATTCATATGTACGTACGGAAGTTCGGACGGACTGACGGAGCCTAATACTATATCCCCTGCTTTGCGCTAAACGCACTGCGGGGGATAATCAAGCTATCAGTATCACTGTTACTGCTAATGATCGTTTCTGCAACCACATGTGTTGTAATATGCAGATTTGGAGTAGACCAGATTATTTTTTAATTCAGCTGATTTTGACATGAGCAATACAGGTCTTGCAAGGATTATCTCCCCTATATTGTAAAGCTCTTTTGTATGTTTCTTGATGCATTCAGCAATATTCAATTTATATGATAGCAGCCTGTAAATAATGAAGCCTGGGTATTGCATCATGTTCCAGCTGGAAGCACTAGCCACATACTTGGAGGACCCCCTATCCCAAGTGGCAGCCTCCTGATAGTGGATAGCACACAAGATGTGTACGTGAAATGACAGTCAACAGCTCCTGTCACCATCTTGGCTGCTTCCTGCATCATTCCCGGTCCTGTTGCCAGGCAAACTCTTTGAACAAACAGGACTTTGTTCACCTCAGTATTTGGCATAACATGTTCAGATTACATAAAATATTGGTACACTTTTATTTTAATCTAGCAAAATATAGGTTGATTAATGTATAATGTTGAAGCTTTAACTGCATTAGAATGGGTCAGTTAGGTAATGAACCCAAGTGTTGGGGTATATATGCCATGACGCATCTCCAGTTGTGTGTATTTCAGTGTTTCTCGCACTTCACTGTTCGAAGGGTGTACTTGTAGATGAATGATTGAATACAGCTGTGAGAATATAAAAACTGTATCACAGCATTCATTGGAATGTCATACTTAAGACTTGTCCTAAAAAAAAAGCAAGGAAAACCGCAATTGTGATACAAATTCAGGGCCATCTGGAATGATGTTACAGTTACAAAAGAATATTAATGCTGTTAGTGTTTTGTCGATACTAATATTGACACTGCAGAATTCTGGTCCTGTGATATATGTTAATCACATGTCAGTGGTGCTATTATGTTGATACTCTAGGTGTTTAACACTCCACCAGCTGTCAAATACATCAGCTTGTCTTTGTGTTGGTTGTCTTGGCAGATTTCAGCTGACTCTTATCATTTACATTCAACAGTTGATGATATAGGATTCACTTAGCTAATTTAGAACTGTTTGACACTCAAGGTTAAAGGATTTCTTTGACCTAGAGGTAGCATTGTGGTTCAGCTGGTGGCTCCCACTGAAGGCCCAATTTCTGTTTTCAACAAGAGTATGTATGTGAAGTTTTTTCTTGGTATCCCTTGACATGATAGAACTGGAATATTGATAAGAGCAGATTGGTTTCTAACTGAAACACTTTTTCCTATAACATTTTTCAATGAGATCAGTATACTGGTTTAGATAAAATGTACATCTCCAGGTATATTCAGCATGCATTCTTTTGTCCCATTGTAAAAGAGCACATAAGGCAAAGCTTGTGAAATGTTTTATTGTCCACACTACTAAGAGTTTCTTGTATGCAACAGCCATGTACTTTATGTAAATAAAATGTTGATATGACAGAACTGCATGTCATTAATTTGTGTTTGTAAAACCTCTAGCACTTTTTTAAATAACATAATTAAGTTTAATTAAACATTTTCTTTTTTAGTTTTTGATAAATATTTGGAATAGGAAAGAAAATCTCTGTAATGATCTGTTTTACTGGTAAAAAGGTGAAAAAGCACTTGGAGACATTGTTCAATCAAACAAGCATCAGGCAGCACCTGGAGATCTTGTTCAAACAAGCATCAGACAGCACCTGGAGATCTTGTTCAAACAAGCATCAGACAGCACTTGGAGATCTTGTTCAAACAAGCATCAGGCAGCACCTGGAGATCTTGTTCAAACAAGCATCAGATCAAACAGCACCTGGAGATCTTGTTCAAACAAGCATCAGACAGCACCTGGAGATCTTGTTCAAACAAGCATCAGGCAGCACCTGGAGATCTTGTTCAAACAAGCATCAGACAGCACCTGGAGATCTTGTTCAAACAAGCATCAGGCAGCACCTGGAGATCTTGTTCAAACAAGCATCAGACAGCACCTGGAGATCTTGTTCAAACAAGCATCAGACAGCACCTGGAGATCTTGTTCAAACAAGCATCAGGCAGCACCTGGAGATCTTGTTCAAACAAGCATCAGACAGCACCTGGAGATCTTGTTCAAACAAGCATCAGGCAGCACCTGGAGATCTTGTTCAAACAAGCATCAGACAGCACTTGGAGATCTTGTTCAAACAAGCATCAGGCAGCACCTTGAGATCTTGTTCAAACAAGAATCAAACAGCACTTGGAGTCATTCAACTAGACATCACCCATGACAGAGCCCATGCAGGATTTGTATCTCCTTGTCATACCCCATACCATGGGGTGTTTCCAGAACCATGGGGATGTCATCAAAGTTGGGATCCCTCATCACTCTACGGAAACCGTCAAGGCCTATGTGCCCTTTACCTATGTTCTCGTGTCGGTCGAGACGGCAACCCTTCACACCTGGAGAAAACAAAAAGAAAATCTCCTCAATATTCCTGGTGGACTGATCCTGCTATGGAATGTGTTCGATTGGTATCAACAAGCAGAATGGCTCAATGCTTTTATCAAGTGATATTTTATCAAGGACAGTTGTACATGGATATAAAGGGTGAAAATGTATGGATATTGACTTCTGTAATCTGAGTTAAACAGTGTTCAAATTACAGACATTGACATCCATAAATTTTCATCTTTCTGTGTAGCAGTTCTCAATGCCATTCAAAGACTTGATAGTTGTATATGCATCAATGATTCATTCAAAGCTTTTTCACTCACAGCAACACTTGAAAAGTTTAAGCAGTTGTTAGATGTTTAAATCTAAACAATATGTCATGATGTGAAGAGTTTCAGTGGCTGAAAATAGTATTAATGCTGTTATTATGCTTTATTGCTTGGACTTGTGCTGAATATTATATCTTGTATGGGTTAGATTTATTACTACTGAGAAGACTTCAGAGTAACGAAATATGCATCTGTACCTAAAACATATGTCTCACCCTTGGAGTCGTTCAAGTGCAGAGCGTCAAGATATTTGAAACCAATAATCTTGTCAAAGTCAGATATGAACTTCTTGTAGCCTGAATCAGTCGTCAGGTCAAAGCCTAAAACAAATATTTCAGTGTTCAGCTGTATGGAATCAAAGCATGGAGAGATTGTACTCACAGGTGGTGGAGGAAGCAATGTATACAGACTTACAAAGTGCTGAGAAAATGGAACAAAGTGTGAAGCATAAGATTAGTGTTCCTTGATTATTAACGTGTTACCTCTTGACAAAACTAACAAGGACATTCTGGTTAAATAGTCCCCTAGAAACACATGCTGGTTGTGAAAGACAACTAAATCTGTGTCTCTCTGAGTGTGTGTGTGTGTGTGTGTGTGTGTGTGTGTGTGCGCGCGTGCGTGCGTGTGTGTGAGAGACAATACAAATCCCTGAAGTTTGTGGCTCTGATGTTCTACTGGATACTGTTCAACTGGAACATTGTAGAGTGAGGCATTAAACAATCAATTTTAGTGACCGTTCATATTGTATTTGTCATTGTTTCATGGAAAAAGGCCTTACTTCCTACCTGCAGCAAAAGCATGACATGTATCAAGGCAGACGCCTATTCGAGATTTGTCCTTGACCTTGTCAATAATGCCACGTAGTTCTTCAAACTTTCCTCCTATTGTATATCCTTGGCAACTCATATTTTCTATCACTGAAATGAAAGTAACAACAAAATTGCTTGATTTATGTCACCAGATATTTTGTGCTGCATTAATAAGACGATTCAGTTTAGTTCAACACACTACCACACACCTGTCCTGACGTACTTGGTCTTGGAATGAGCAATGTTAATACTCTCCGCAATGAGGGCGATGCATTCTTTCACAGAAATCTTCCCACAGGTAGAGCCTGAAACACATATGAACCAACTAGTATCTTCTACATTCACACATACAACATGGATTGTGCAGACAACACCGATAACGTAGCTGTTCCTGACATCAGAACCATGAGGGGAGGATCCCATGTACTCCCTTGAGACCTGAACCTGGTAAGTCAAACCAAACAGCTCAGATCATTGCCCATGCAATCAACCACAGTCTTGTCAGTCACAGACTTGATCATTAACCCTGTTATGTTGCTGAAATACATGTTGACTGCAGTATGATGACATGATTCAGATCACCAATCATTCTTAGTCATCTCACACAGAAGAATTCCTCATAAAGAACTGGGGAAATCCTATTCCTCCAGTAGGGAGCAGTGACAAGACATGTACAGTGGTTGATAACGTCACTGTTTGATATCATAACTCAATCCAGTGTCGTACTGGTCACAGCAGCATCGTTGTTTGAAGGAATCGACAATGTGACCTTTGATGTAAAGAAACTGCAGTCTTTGGTAAAATTCTCATCCCTGTTCTTAAAGTGACCCGGTTGTTAAGTCTCTTGGTTGCACGTCCGCTGTGATATTGCTGGAATATTGCTAAAAACGGCTCAAAAATAAACTTACTCACACTGGATGCATGTCTTCATGTCACAAATGCATGTGGCAATGCTCATATCAATCACTTGTTTGTCTGGTTCAGACTTATGTACAGGTTGCTGTCAACAAACTAGAATATTGCCAAAAGTGGCACAAACAAAACAAATATTTCCAGATCCAATATGCGTCAAGATCCTCATGTAAGTCACCTTTTAAACATTAATTCTTATTCAACCCTAGAGTTCCCCCCTCAGGATGATCACATCAAAGTCCCACATATATTTTAAAGAAAAAGTATGCATGTCATGTTTTAAAGCAAGATCTCACCAGGATGAAAGTTATACTGGGTAAGGCCGAGCTTCTCACATCGCTGTAACTCATCAACCAGGGCATCGCGACTTTTCCGCAGAGTATCTGGCTCTGGAGAACCACAGTTGATCAAATACGGCCCATGGGGAATTATCAGATCAGGAGTGAACCCATATTCCTAGAAGCAAAATATCAGCAGACACTCAACTTTGTTCCCGAGTGTGTGAGAGAGTTAATGTTTTGTTTCTACTCTAGTGAACAATATTACAAATATTTCTTGAATGGCAAGATGCAATGATCGGAATAGATGGTTACAATGAATATTAGCAGGGTATGGAACTCCCAAAAACTTTCAGCCAGACCACAGGCTGTAAGACTTGCCAGCTCTGACCAAAACTTACCTGCCCACAAAAAATACTAATTTACTTAGAATAATTAAATTAAAACTGTTGTAAAATATTAAACAAACTAATCATAAGTTCATATACATGTTCAAATTTTAACCCGACCGTCGGGCAGGTGAATTTGAGAATCTGGCAGTCTGTGTTAAAAATAACCCGTCCTGGACGGTCGGGCAGGCAGGTATTTCGAACGCTGATATTAGAGTTACAATATATGACCTGGCTGATGCTGAGGCTTCACACTCAAACAGGTGGTTTACAAGGTGGTTTTCAAAGCGTGATCACAGACCTTACATGCATCTTTGAACTTTGCAACAACATTCTCATCCAGCGGTTTGGCCTTCCATTGACGCTGTGACTTGAGGAACATGGCAAAGGACCTGGCGCCAATATCAACTGCATTGTAGACAGCATTACGTACACCACCTGGAGGTATACAGATGGTAAGCTTCTACCACATTCACAGTCATGTGTCCTTGGGAGCTTTCAAGAGCATCATGGCAAACCAGTATCATATACATTAATACAATATTCTGTCCCAAAAAATATAACATGAAAATGTTTCGTAAATATTTGCATGCGTGTCTTTCTGCCTGTCTACTTAAATCGTAACTTAGAGAATGCAGACGTTTCTATGATGACTATGCTCGCATTTGGTATAAGCAAATATGAATAGTGCTTTTCATGTGTTACTCAGCTCGTACAGTTTTCGCTTCAACATACGTTTGTAGTATTGATATACTAGTCAAAATACTCCTATGGTCTAAATGACATAAGGAAATTAATGTTCTGAGAAACAAAATGGGTTTAGAGTGTGTTTGTGTGTGTGTGTGTGTGTGTGTGTGTGTGTGTAAAAGCTGATTAAATTCATACACAAAGAGCTGACTTTGATTTCAGAGATGAAGCAGTAATGAATGAACTTGATTCAAATATTGTTGAAGTGCCCATTTCCATATAAAATGTGTTATATGCATCAGAAAATATGGACAGACAGGTAAATTTTCTGTCTCAGGCCAAATAAAAAATGTTATGGTTCCGATAACACCTCTTTGAAATTTATGGTAGGTAGGTAGGATTTTTTTTACATTTTTTTAGAAGTAAAGTACAAACTAATAACACATTTATCATGTATAATTGTTAATTCAATCAAGCTTGCGGCCATCATGTTGACTTTCTCTATCAGATTGACCGATGTCCGTCAGTGACGGGAAAAAACAATGGTATCTGAAAGCTTATTTTATTCATACCTCCTAAAAAGATAGGGTCGGCACCAGAATTCAAGGGTCGGTCGGGTAATCTGAACCACAACATTTCTGGAAAAGGGTGTCTACAATGCACTTCATTTCATAAACATAATCTTCCATTTAAGAATTTTTTTCGGAAACAGATAATTTTCTAAGAAGACCAGACAAATGCTTGTTTGATAACAACAACAAACTGCAACACCTGAATCTGCATACCTTGAGATGAGACATGTGCACCAACCAGCTTCCTACAAGAATGACGACCTTTCTTACTGGTCTTCTTACTTTTCACTTTCACATCTACATCAAGTTCATCTTCATCCTCTTCTTCCTTTTTTACCCTCGATGAAGAAGCTTTACCCTTTTTTGCAATGCCTTTCTCTTTTTTCACTGTTATATGTTTTTTACTATGAGAATTGTTCTGATCTTTGGAGAGGTCATCGTTTTTGTCCAAAGGATCAGTTTTCACTTTCTTATTACTGAGTTCACGAATCTCAACACTGGTGTCACTTTTTCTCTTGTCTGTTTTCTTTTTTATTGTTGTCTTTTGTTGCTTTAGCATCGTATCTTTAATGTCACCCTCATATGGTGATTTGAGTTGGGTTTCTTTCTTGCTCATCTTTTTATTTTCTTCTAAACCAAACTGTGTAATAATCCTTGGTTTCCTTTCCCGTACTGGGCGGCTTCTTTCACTGTCTGCCATTTTATTCTTTTTCAAAGGCAACAAAAAAAAAAGGATAAAAAAATGTTATTTATTGCCTCCTTATTTCCAAAACATCTGAAGATCTAACTGCAAGTGATCAAGGTGATCTTTTATTAAACTGATATAATTTGATAGATCCACAAACAGGCAAGGCTATAGTGAGTGATTTAATGAGTGAGTTGGGTTTTTAACCCGCTTTTAGCAATGTTCAGCAATATCACGGTCGGGGACACCAGAAATTGAAATCCAAATATGCCAAAGATTTATGGCTCAAGTTTTCGTTGTTTTTACTTGTTAGGGGCCGCTCCAAATTTACGGCTAGGAGGGGGGTTGATGATGATTTTATTTTTTTTATTTATTTATTTTGGGGTGTTTGGTTTATTATTTGTAAAATTAAGGAGGGGGTGTCATTGATTTTTGTACATGACATGCGCGATGCGGCAGACAGTCAAGACTTACTTGACTGTATAATCTTTAGGGGAGACTTACATAATCATTCACATTGTACTAGCTTCTCCATAAAAATCATCATCATCCGCCCTAGCCATAAATTAGGAACGGTCCCTTACTCAGTTACTTGCCTTTTAATATTCGTCAGAAAGTACTAGTATTCGAAGTTTTGACAAGCGTGTTTATACAGCACAATAATGTGTCAACCTGGCAAAATCATGTTTATAAATTGTCAAAATCTTTGCTTTCCGAACATGCGAAAGTCCTCTGTCAAAAACTTGGTAACTAGTCATTAATTTTCGGTGTTCCTACATTTATTCGATCTGTCTTTTATAACTTTTATACATTCTGTGGAACCGTTTTCTAGTGACACTGCTTCTGCTGAATGTGTGTCAATTTGCTTATCAACTTATTAACTAAAATTGCAGGGGTACCACTAATAATATTAAGTTGTCAACAATTAACGATTTAGTCACCTCCAGTTTCGATGACAGATGAGTCTCCTTTCGCAGTGACGAAGTTTCCCGCGGTCACGTCTGCTCAAGAAGGGCAGGTCACTCTCAATACACACCCTGAGAGTTTCCTGTCACGTGAAACACAACAGCTAGGTAACGCGTTCGAATCGTGTCGAGCATTCTATGGTCAACAAGTTTCCAATATTTTCAGTTCATTTAATCATGTTGATGATTTATCACCCAAAGCATGTATTATTTCACCCCATAAATATATTTCAAACAAATAACTATATTGGAATGCTGAATTTCAACATGAGTCTTTTGAAATTATATTTGACCAAGTGTTGTGCATAACACAAAGTGTGGAACTTTGGAAAAAATATTGATGGGTGTTCATGATCCATATAGGTTGTGTGTTATTTTCGACAGATTATTTATTTGCACGGGTAGTCAGAACACTGTTACACTGGTTACACTTGAACGCGAACTGATTTCACAAAGTGATGACATGACAACTAAACGGAAAAAGAAAAATGATTTGACGGCCCAACTTATCGCATATTTCATGATTCACATGATGTTAGTCAAACACTTATTGGCTTCAGTGTGTATGACAGGAAACCATAATATTGTAATCTATTATGTATTCACAGTGAACTGACACCAAGTTGCACCGATAATACCAATTTAACATGAAATTGACAGTATTTGCATCTTTCCATGTAATAATTTCCCTAACGAAAGTGTACATTAATCTGTTTGGGGAAAGTATTAATTGAATAAACAAATTATTAATACGACACTCATAACAAAAGTAGGTCACATCTTGTTGACCCTTCATATTCAAGCGCATTTGTATCTAAATTCTTCCGCATAGTTCCAATTATATGGACGGTTGGTGTTGGGTTTAATTCCTTACACAATTACACTTTAAAAAAAAATATTCCTTGGGGTGGAATGCTTCGATATTGCGGAAATAATAATAAAAGTAAGGTGAAACCCCCTCACTCCAATAATGGCACAACTGGCAAATATCTGATCCCAAAAGAGACAACCTCAATAAATTCATATGTCAGTGCTCTCTACCGCTACATGAGGAGTGAGATCATATTTTTAATGAGATTGCAAACAGAGATCAGCAATTGTAACCAATCAGATGACAGTGAATCAGTTGGTAGGAACTTGAACCAATCAGATGCAATTGATTGGGAGACCAGATCACATTGATAGGGAGAAACTAGAAATAACCAGATCACATTGATAGGGAGAAACTAGAAATAACCAGATGACATCGATAGGGAGAAACTAGAAATAACCAGATCACATCGATAGGGAGAAACTAGAACCAAGTAGAAAACATCGATAGCGAGAAACTAGAACACTATATGCACTCGTCTTACATTGTAAGTTACAAATCCTCCAAACTGAAAGGAAGTTGAAGGTATCAAGCCCTGAAAAAATAGAACCATAAATCCTAACTCATTACGTGGACAGGGAACTCCTACATCTGTATAGTTCCGTTGTCTGAAAGGATTATAATACATCGGCCTTCAATTCTCAGATTGATTAGTCTGGTGCCATAAAGCATATTCCGTGGTAATTTTGCAACGTATTTAATCTTTATAATATACTACAATGTATTGTATTGTATATCAAGAAAAAAAGGATCCAAAAAATGTGAAATCGTTTATTATTGCAATCTAATTTAAAGGAAGATCTTTCAGCATGGCCCAATATCTTTTGATGAAGCATGATATTGGATCGGACTAAAGATCCTATTTATCTAATTTTAATTTAATTTTTTTATGGTTAATTGAATAAATCGTTATCTGTTTCAGTTAGAATAGATGATTAAGAGTGTAATTCACAGGTTTTGGTTTGTTGTTTAATATTTTAATTCTTAATCAGTGTAACCGATTGTAAAATCAATCATTGATCGGATGGGACAATCCGATTGCAACCGATAATCGATTATGAAATTTCAACCGATTCCCACCACTAGTACACGTATATAATATTAGGTGTGACAGGTTACAACTCACTCCGTAATTTTTATGCCGCACTCAGCAAAAGTCTAGTTGTATGGCGGCGGTCTGTAAATAATCAAGTCTGGATTAGACAATCCAGGGATCAACAGCATGAGCAACGATCTGCGCAATTGGGAACCGATGACATGTGTCTACCAAGTCAGCGAGCCTGACCACCCCATCCCGTTAGTCGCCTTTTACGACAAACATGGGTTACTAAAGATCAATTCTAACCCGGAGCTTCACGGGTAGTGCAATATACAGATCCGTGTTTATGCAGCCAATGGAAGGAAAATGCAGGGGTTAGTAATTGTCCGTCTTCGAAGAAATATTGTTTCGATGCCACGTGTCGATAGAGTTACAAATAAATTAAACTCCGAATTCGTTAATAAATAATACAGCTGCTAAAGTGTTACATAAATAGTTTTTCAGGTACAGTTGGTGTTTGGTGTTTTCATTCACAAGGTGGCACGGATGGACCTGCCGGCATTCCTTGTACACGCAAAAAGACTATGAACTTGGTTTCGGAGCCAAGGTCCGCCCCAAATTATGTTGTTTGGTTTGTCAGCACCAACCCACTCTCGTCCCAACAAAGTGGTAAACCTCTGACATCAATGCATTACACCGGGCACTCCTCCCGCATTGAGCTGACACACGTAAGTAAAAACCGATAGCCTGGTGGTTAAAGCGTTCGCTAGTCACGCCGAAGACCCGGGTTTCGATTCCTCACGTGGGTACAATGTGTGAAGCACATTTCTGGTGTCCCCCGACGTGATATTGCTGGAATATTGCTAAAGGCGGCGTAAAACCATACTCACTCATTGTCACACACTCACTCACTTATATACTGTTCAAAGTCGAGATAAAAACAAACTCACTCACTCGTCTTTCAGTTCATAATTAATAGGACATTTACAGATGTTTTTAAATGTAATTTTGTTGGATTTAGATGAGATACGTATAATGCCCTTTGGCGTAGCAGAAGCCACAGTTAGCAGCGGAAATACACACAGAAGATAAAACTATTTAATCTGGTCTAAGTGCGTGCATTGACCCTATGTCGTACACCACCACAACTGTGTTATTCAGTCGTGCCTCGTCATATACATCTCAGTATCTTTATAAACATTAGTTGTCCCTAATTCCTATTAGTGTTCCATTGTGGTTCTCCGCTTGACCTTACACGACCCATTAAATTCGTTCTACATATCCCGCACCAGGCAGTGTTTGCATACCGCAATATGACCGTGTTTGGGTCATATTCAGGGGCAGATGGGAGAAATATCAACAGTGGAAAACTTCGTGTAGGTCGTGGTTGAAATAAACATAGGGGTATCTGTATTTGTCGATAACGTTTAGAATGTTGCGTAAGAGCAGCAGATCGAGTCTATTCTATGGAATATAAATGTTCCAATATTGCCATTATTCACTTAACATCACTATCGTTATTCCACACTGATGTGTTTGGTAAAGTTTATAGGATCGTTGATTCTCCTTCACTCCAAATGTGAGTGAGTATGGTTTTACTCCGCTTTTAGCAACATCCCAGCCTTATCACAGCAGAGTACACCAAGAATGTTCCAGCTATATGGAGTGAGTGAGTTTAGTTTTACGCCGCACTCAACAATATTCCAGCTATATGGTGGCGGTCTGTAAATAATCGAGTTTGGACCAGACAAGCCAGTGATCAACAACATGAGCATCGATCTGGGCAACTGGGAACCGATGACATGTGTCAACCAAGTCAGTGAGCCTGACCACCCGATCCCGTTAGTCGCCTCTTACGACAAGCATGGGTTACTGAATATCAATATTCTAACCCGGACCTTCACGGGTTCCAGCTATATGGAGGCGGCCTGTAAAGATATGAGTCTGGACCAGACAATCCAGTGATCAATATCATAAGCATCGATCTACGCAATCGGTATACGATGACATGTGACAACCAAGTCAGTTAGCCTGACCACTTTTCTATTATCTGTAATCGACCCTGTAAGGAAAACCGTCGGAGAATGGATCCATGTGACCTCCGCACGTCGTAACAGCCAACCAGTGGGGATCGGAAGGTTCCTTTGGGCGGCTTTTCCTATTGTGTGTCCGGGCTGCTCATGCTGTCAACCACTAGGAGATATCGAATTGGCGAAATCCAGGAGAGATCACTATACAACAGAAACATCAGAATTCTAAACTTTTACAACTCATGTTGGTTTTGATATTAAAAGACACTTTCTGAGAGCGGGATGTTCGATGCCCTGCCACGTCATACCAACAGACGTTAAAAGGGGGCACATGTTGTCACCCTGCCTGGCGCTCGGCGCTGTGGAAGAAAAAGAGGTACTCGACAGCTTGGAGTCAATATACTGTTTCATAATGGACTAGACATGTTACTGACATCATGTGGGTTATCTCTGTGGGCTAACTTGGATTGTATTGATTATATACTGAATCGCAAAAGAAACACCACACCGATAGAGGTTTCTTAAAGCACACACTTTAATTCGCTCTATTTAATAAACAAAACAGAGGATTGAGTTCAAACGTGACAATTATGGTTACCACATTTTCGGGAACACATTTAGAGTTCACACAAACAAAATCACCAAAAATGGTTCCATTAGGATGCCTCAAAGTCAGTATCGTGTGTGGCCTCCATGGGCATTGATGACGGCGTTGCATCGTCTGTACATGGAGTGAATTAGCCAGTTGATGAAGGCCATAGTCACTTGGGTCCATACTCTGCGAAATGGTCGAGTCCAGCCACAGTTGTCGGCCGTGGTTGGAGGTCATTCAGTCTTCTTTGAATCTCGTCCCAAAAGTGTTCTATTGGACTTGAATCTGGACTGAGTGCAGACCATTGTTGGGTTTGGATGCCGTGTTGTCTCAGGAAGTCCAATGTTGCTCAGGCAGTGTGGGCACGAGCATTGTCTTGCTGGAATATGTGATTTCTGTGACGTCCAAAATGTGGTACAATGTGGGGTCTTATGACTTGGTCAATTTTGCGAGCCGCTGTCACGCATTTCCTTGTCCTTGGCCGAGATTCTCGAACACCACGGGGTCAACTCTGGCTCAGATTGCACATCACACTATGATG